CGGAGCAGGGAGTGAACCCGGCACCCTGAGTCCATCCTGTTTCCTCCTCGCGAGGATACCTGGCACCTGGCCCTGGAACCTGCCCAGCTCTAACCACAGGTATTGGGCTGCCCCGTCCCACCCCGGGGTGTCCAGGCAAAGGCTCCCTTCCCTGGCCACATGCAGGACATTAACCCAGGATGAAAGCTGACCCTCAGCAGAACCCAAGCTCTGGATTCGTGTTACAGTGGGGGGATCTGCGCCCCAGAGGCAGCCGCATTTGCTCAGGGAGCCCCTGGAGAGGGCAGGGAGTGCCCTAGCGCAACCCAACAGGGATGCTGAGCCGGACGGGCCGGGAGCCAGGGCTCAGAGACCTTTCTGGAGAGGCCGTGTGGCTGGGGAGCTCCAGGTGCGCTGAGTCAATGCAACAAACCTGGGGGCCTGAGACAAGGGGAGAGGCTGGAGCCATTGTGATGCTTGTAAAGACTCACGGACTCTTTTTCAGGGGACAAGGCAACACGCCGCGTTTATTTAAAATGCTACACAAGTATTAAAATCAGTGTGTGCGTATATTTTATACACACACACACACACCAAAAAGGGTCTGCAGCTGGGGTTGTAGGTACCGGTCTGTATCGTTGCTCAAGTCAGCCCAACTTCAATCTAACTGGAGAACACTTCAATCTCTCTGGTCACTCGATTTCTGACGTAAAAGTGGCAAATCTTCAACAAAAAAACTTCAAAAACAGACTCCAATGAGAGACTGCTGAATTGGAATGAATTGGCAAACTGGATGCAATTAACTTAGGCTTGAAAAGAGACTGGGAGTGGATGGGTCATTACACAAAGTAAAACTATTTCCCCATGTTTATTCCCCCCCACTGTTCCTCAGATGTTCTTGTCAACTGCTGGAAATGGCCCACCTTGATTATCACGACAAAAGGTTCCTCCTCTGGCCCCCGCTCTCCTGCTGGTAACAGCTCACCTTAAGTGATCACTCAGGTTACAGTGTGTAAGGCAACACCCATTGTTTCATGTTCTCTGTGTATATAAATCTCCCCACTGTATTTTCCACTGAATGCATCCGACGAAGTGAGCTGTCGCTCACAAAAGCTGATGCTCAAATAAATTGGTTAGTCTCTAAGGTGCCACAAGTCCTCCCATTCTTCTACCCAGCAATTAGAGGAAACGGCACAGGGGCTGTTAAACAATTTTCTAATGAACACGCTTGTAACAGAACATCATAGAACCATAGAACTAGAAGGAACCTCGAGAGGTCATCAAGTCCGGTCCCCTGCACTCATGGCAGGACCAAGCACCATCTAGACCATCCCTGACAGGCGTTTGTCCAACCTGTCCTTAAAGATCTCCTATGATGGGGATTCCACAACCTCCTGTGACGAAGTGGGACTGTTCTTAATGTTTCCTCTGAATAGTGTGGGGGTGCCTCAGTTTCCCCCAGGCAGTTCTTAAGTATCTAGGGGGTGGAGTAAGGGTGTATGATCATTGCAGAGCCCTAGAGAGCATGTGTGTGCAGGAGTCTGGACACAGAGAATGGCCGACACCCTGTTTCCTGGCAACTGATGGCCTGGGCCCTCCCCCGCAAGGTGAGAGCTGAAGGGTTGGAGAACAAAGGAATCAGGTGACCACCTGGCCCGGGAAAGGAACAAAGCCCAGAGGAGGAGGGGCTGGAGGGGGTTTCAGTTTGGGGCTGGCTGGGACATGGAGTGAAGTGCAGACGTGGTTGTCTGGCTCACTACCCCCCAAAATGGACCCAGCTGAGGGGTCCCGTTCGCTGCACCTGCAAGCTCTGTTTTAGACCATGTTCCTGTCGTCTAATAAACCTTCTGTTTTACTGGCTGGCTGAGAGTCACGTCTGACTGCGAAGTTGGGGTGCAGGACCCTCTGGCTTCCCCAGGACCCCGCCTGAGCGGATTCGCTGTGGGAAGCGCACGGAGGGGCAGAGGATGCTGAATGCTCCGAGGTCAGACCCAGGAAGGTGGAAGCTGTGTGAGCTGCGTGTCCTGAAGACAGGCTGCTCACAGAAAGGCAACTGCCCCAGAGTCCTGACTGGCTTCATGGGGAGCAGTTCCAGAGCATCGCCCAGGGACTCCGTGACAACTGGTGGCAGCGGTGGGATGTACTGCACCCCGTGGATGGTGCTTCCTGCAGTAAGTGACTGGGGAGCAGTAACACGAAGGGGGATTGCTGAGGACTAGGCCTGCTGAAGGCTCAGAGAGGAGCGGTTTCGGGGGGCGGTTAACCCCTGGGAGTGTGTGACCAGCGAGAAGGACTGTGCAGTAGCAGGGTTCCCCTGGGGATTGCAGCGAGCAGTCCAAGGGGCGGAGGAGTCTGCAGCTCGACCCTGGCAAAGAGGTGGTGACCTCGAGAAGGGCTGGCACACTAGGGGTTCTCCCTGGAAACCGTGGGGAGCTGAGAACACACGGGCCTGTGAGTCCACGACAACTTGGGAGGAGCGGAGTGACGGCCTGTCACTGTCTCCTTAAGAAGGACATTGTAACCCTGTGCAAACAGAGAGGGTTGAGCGTTGGAAAGTTCACCAAAGCAGAGTTAATCGTGCAGCTGGAGGAGGATGACCGCTCTAAGGAACAGACTCCTGACCCCAACTGGGGCTATAGCAGGATCTGGGAGCAGCTGGAGTGGGAGCCAGGCATCGCCAAGACTCCTGTCCCCGACCAGACGGGGGTATTCACGATCGGGTTCCCCATCGGGGGATCGGAGACGGACGGGATTGGAGCTGAGTCCGAGAGAGCAAGAGGACCCTGGGAGACAGCGAGAGCCCGAGAAAGAGCTGCAGAAGCAGCAGCAGCATGAACTGGCGGTGGGGGAGCGGAGAGGCCTAGGGGACCTCCCCGGGGTGAGTGGGGATAGACCCCGGGGGGCCAGTTCCACAGGGAACCTCAAGACTAAATTGCTGCCCCTGGTTAAGGGGGGGGGTTTGGATGCCCACCTCACTGCCTTTGAGCAGGCTGGCGATTTGAACCAGGGGGACCCTGCGGAAAAGCCCCGGTGTCTAGCTCCCTTGCTGGGTCCCAAGGCCATAGACTCCGTCAGCCAGATGGTTGGGGATGTGGACAGGCTCCCACTCCTGACCCCAACCTATATGTCTGTGTGGAGTTTCCTGGGGCCAGGCCCCCGGACCTCCAGTGGGAGCAGAAGGTGATGGTCAATGGGGAGACATTCTTGGGGTGGCCAAAGGGCATGGGCTGCATAAACCTTCCCACATGCGGCCTGCGAGTGCTATCGACCACCCCTGACCTAAGGGAGGGTGTGAAACTGGAAGGGCCTGGTGTAACTCCTACCAAGGAATGGGAGAGATGCTGGGGCATCCATGGGAACGTTGGTGGCTTCGAACTTCCCCAGGTCACCGGCTAAAGTGACCCCGCTCAGTTCGATCTCGAAGGGGGGAGAGATGTGACGAAGTGGGACTGTTCTTAATGTTTCCTCTGAATAGTGGGGGGGTGCCTCAGTTTCCCCCAGGCAGTTCTTAAGTATCTAGGGGGTGGAGTAAGGGTGTATGATCATTGCAGAGCCCTAGAGGGCAGGTGTGTGCAGGAGTCTGGACACAGAGAATGGCCGACACCCTGTTTCCTGGCAACTGATGGCCTGGGCCCTCCCCCGCAAGGTGAGAGCTGAAGGGTTGGAGAACAAAGGAATCAGGTGACCACCTGGCCCGGGAAAGGGACAAAGCCCAGAGGAGGAGGGGCTGGAGGGGGTTTCAGTTTGGGGCTGGCTGGGACATGGAGTGAAGTGCAGACGTGGTTGTCTGGCTCACTACCCCCCAAAATGGACCCAGCTGAGGGGTCCCGTTCTCTGCACCTGCAAGCTCTGTGTTAGACCATGTTCCTGTCGTCTAATAAACCTTCTGTTTTACTGGCTGGCTGAGAGTCACGTCTGACTGCGAAGTTGGGGTGCAGGACCCTCTGGCTTCCCCAGGACCCCGCCTGAGCGGACTCGCTGGGGGAAGCGCACAGAGGGGCAGAGGATGCTGAATGCTCCGAGGTCAGACCCAGGAAGGTGGAAGCTGTGTGAGCTGCGTGTCCTGAAGACAGGCTGCTCACAGAAAGGCAACTGCCCCAGAGTCCTGACTGGCTTCATGGGGAGCAGTTCCAGAGCATCGCCCAGGGACTCCGTGACACCTCCCTAGGCAATTTATTCCAGTGCTTCACCACCCTGACAGTTAGGAAGTTTTTCCTAATGTCCAACCTCAACCTCCCTTGCTGCAGTTTGAGCCCATTGCTTCTTCTCCTATCATCAGAGGTTAAAGAGAATAATGTTTCTCCTTCCTCCTTGTTACAACTTTTCAGGTACTTGAAGACTCTTATCATGTCCCCTCTCAGTCTTCTCTTCTGCAGTTCTTTCAATCTTTCCTCAGACCTCATGTTTTCTAGACCTTTAATCATTTTTCTTGCTCTTCGCTGGACTTTCTCCAATTTGTCCACATCCTTCCTGAAATGTGGCGCCCGGAATGGACACAATACTCCAGCTGAGGCCTAATCAGCGCGGAGTAGAGCGGGAGAATTACCTCTCGCATCTTGCTGATAACACTGCTGCTAATACAGCCCAGAATGACCTTTGCTTTTTTTGCAACAGCGTTACACGGTTGACTCATATTTAGTTTGTGGCCCACTATGACCCCCAGATCCCTTTCCTTTTCTGGTGGGACCCAGCTGAGAGGGCCAATTCAGGACAAGTTGCTTAAAGCAGGGCAGTTACCGCCCAAGGCTGGGGTTTCTGTGCACACCAAACCAGCCAGACAGAGAGGACTTCTGTCTCACCCCACTGGCTAACCATAAGTCACACGACCAATTCCCTTAGACACCCCAGTTTCCCAGTATCACCACCGTGCCACTTGTTATGGGGATGAACGGTTCTGAAAACCAACACCCCAGTAACAGAAAAAACCAACACCCCAGTAACAGAAAAAAGGTTCCCTCGATCCCAAAGGACCAAGCCCCAGACCCAGGTCAATATACAGATCAGATCTTATCCACAAATCGCGCTGTGGCCCATCCTTTAGAATCTAAAATCATAAAAGGGAAAAGATACAGGTGGGAGCTAGAATTGGTGAAATGGAATCAATGACACACAGTCATGGCAGAGTTCTTGGTTCAGGCTTGCGGCAGGGATGGAATAAACGGCAGGTTCAAATCAAGTCTCTGGAGAACATCCCCAGCTGGGAGGGGTCATCAGTCCTTGGCTCAGAGCTTCCGCTTGTAGCAAAGTCCCTCCAGAGGTATGAAGCAGGATTGAAGACCAGATGGAGATGAGGCATCAGCCTTTTACAGTCTTTTCCAGGTGTAAGAACCCCTCTTTGTTCTTACTCTGGAAAATTAGAGCCAAATGGAGCTTGGAGTCACATGGGCAAGTTTATAAAACAAATTACTACTAACTGAATAAATCCAAAACAGCTAAATAGATCAAGGCAACTTTGTCCAGGCTTGGGTTCTTTGGCTAACACCCTCTCTGCCCCCTCTGCTGCAGAACAGGATCATGGCCCCCCAGGACACCCCTGGCCCATTGACCATCACTCCAGCTGGCTACAGAACCTCTCCCCCGGCAGCCTTCACCACCGGGGGCCCACGTTCAGGGTGTGGTGGGGCGAGTTGCCATTGAGGAACCGCGCGGTGCGGGCCCACAGCCCCGACGCCTGGATTCGGTAGTGGACGCGGCCGTCCCGGTCGTCGTAGACATTGATCTGGTTCCCCCCAGCTCCCGCGGAGAAGCTCAGCGCCCGCCCAGCGCAGTCCACCACCATCCTGGCATTGTCCTGGACGCAGAGCGGCTCCTCGGTGAATTTCTGCACGGCGAAGTCCAGGCAGCCTCTGAGCTCCTCGGTCAGCACCCCCCAGGCCTGGAGCCGGCGCTGCACCCTCAGCAGCGCGTCCACGCTCAGCGGCTCCGGGTGCACGGCCAGCCTGGCCAGGTACAGCTCGGCCGTCCGCACCTCCACGCTGTACCGGACACGGTGGTGGAGGAGATAGACCGAGATCTTGCAGTCCCCCTGGCCGGAGAGGAACTCCAGCACCCGCCCCGCACACTGGACACTCAGCCAGGCGTTGGCCTGGACCGCCGGCGGCTCCTTGCTGAACTCCTCAACGGCCCGCTCGAGACACTCCCGGAGCTCGTAGCTCGCCTCGTCCAGGCCCTGCAGCCGGTCCCGGTGCCTCAGGAGGTTGGCGATGGTCAGAGGCTCCTGGAAGGACAGCAGGGCGGCAACGTGGAACAAGGCGTCCCGGAGGAGGCTGAGGACACCCTGGGGGAGGCTCGGCGGACGGACCATCAGAGCCGTGGGGTCCCCGGCACTCAGGGGGGAAAGGCCCAGCATCTCCTGTCGCAGCCCACGAGCGAGGATGCAGAGGATGATGAAGACCAGCATCACGGCCAAGGCCACCCCGAGACACATTCGCAACAGGTGGCCCAGCTGCCTCCTGGCCCAGTCCAGGAGCAACCAGTGGAGCCAGTTAGTGGCCCAGCGGTGGCTGATGGTCCTCCAGTGAGCCATGGACCTCCAGTGCCCGAGCACGGCCGGCTGCGGGAGGGATCAGCGCAACTCAGTGCCTGGGTGACCAGCTCAGTGCGGCCCGGCTGCGGCCTGGTCCCTAAGGAATGGGAAGGAGACTGAATCAGTTTGGGTGCCCCTCACTCCCGACCCACAGCCCCCTGCCAGCCCAGTCCTGGGCTCCCCATAGCCCTACCGGTGCCCCTCACTCCCGACCCACAGCCCCCTACCAGCCCAGCCCTGGGACCCCCCCCCAGCTCTGCCGGTGCCCCTCACTCCTGACCCGCAGCCCCCTACCAGCCCAGCCCTGGGACCCCCCCCAGCTCTGCCGGTGCCCCTCACTCCCGACCCACAGCCCCCTGCCAGCCCAGCCCTGGGACCCCCCCCAGCTCTGCCGGTGCCCCTCACTCCCGACCCACAGCCCCCTGCCAGCCCAGCCCTGGGACCCCCCCAGCTCTGCCAGTGCCCCTCACTCCCGACCCACAGCCCCCTGCCAGCCCAGCCCTGGGCTCCCCATAGCCCTACCGGTGCCCCTCACTCCCGACCCACAGCCCTCTGCCAGCCCAGCCCTGGGCTCCCCATAGCCCTACCGGTGCCCCTCACTCCCGACCCACAGCCCCCTGCCAGCCCGGCCCTGGGACCCCCCCCCAGCACTGCCAGTGCCCCTCACTCCCGACCCACAGCCCCCTGCCAGCCCAGCCCTGGGCTCCCCATAGCCCTACCGGTGCCCCTCACTCCCGACCCACAGCCCTCTGCCAGCCCAGCCCTGGGCTCCCCATAGCCCTACCGGTGCCCCTCACTTCCGACCCACAGCCCCCTGCCAGCCCAGCCCTGGGACCCCCCCCAGCCCTGCCGGTGCCCCTCACTCCCGACCCACAGCCCCCTGCCAGCCCAGCCCTGGGCTCCCCATAGCCCTACCGGTGCCCCTCACTCCTGACCCACAGCCCCCTGCCAGCCCAGCCCTGGGACCCCCCCCCAGCTCTGCCGGTGCCCCTCACTCCCGACCCACAGCCCTCTGCCAGCCCAGCCCTGGGACCCCCCCAGCTCTGCCAGTGCCCCTCACTCCCGACCCACAGCCCCCTGCCAGCCCGGCCCTGGGCCCTCCCAGCTCTGCCGGTGCCCCTCACTCCCGACCCACAGCCCCCTGCCAGCCCAGCCCTGGGCCCTCCCAGCTCTGCCGGTGCCCCTCACTCCCGACCCGCAGCCCCCTGCCAGCCCAGCCCTGGGCTCCCCATAGCCCTGCGTGGGCTGCAGCTCGGGAGTGAGGGGCACCAGCAGATGTGGGTGGGGGGCTGTCAGGGATATTCGTACCCCAGCACTTCCCGTCTCTCCTGTTCTCTCAGCACAGCGTGGTTCTCTGGCTCTGGCTCTGCCACAGAATGAATAAAAATCCCCCCCCCGCTCCCGCCCGCCACTTCTCCTCTGAGTTTCGGTTTCCTTTCTTCCCCTGGAGCTGAGGCCGGGGCTGGCAGGAGACAGCTGGTTCCCTGGTCTGTCCATCCTCTCCCCCTCATGATCTGTGTCTCCCCCTCATCGTCCCCTGCCCAGGCCCTGCCCCCCCCATTGTTCCCCAGCGGGGGTGGGGGGCGTGTCCCAGACTCCCAGCTCCATCTGGCTCCCCTGGGATTTGCCGTTCACAGGAGATTTGGCTTTTCTCCTAATCCGGTTTTGCTCTGATCTGGAAAATTCCCCCCGCTGGCTTTCAGATTCCCCACAAACCGCAGCCCCCCAAAAGTTTGAGAGCCACAGGCCCTGAAATGCAAGGATCAGCGCCCGGCTGATGGGGGTGAAAGCAGGGTCTGCATGAGCTCTCCCCAGGCAGGGAGCTGGGGCGGGGGGAAAGCGTCAGGCCCAGGCGGTGTTTCCTGTAGCTGAACACACCTTCTGTGCCCAGGTATCCAGCAAACGGAGCTGATCCACTTCGGTTGCTGTTGGCTTACAAGCGACACTCACGACTACCGTGGCTCTCCACAAACCGCTCTCAATATAACTTGGGATAGGTGATGTGCCAAAATATTTGCATGCTAATCTCTTGACTGTACCGTTCAATGTATTAACCTTACTTTGGGATACTGCAGATTATACAGACCACGCGTTTGACGGCTTTTATACCAAAATTTTGGATCATTGTAAGCATTATGCCCCAGATGTATAAAGACTCTTTCCTTGCCCTGTGTATTAGATCATTTTAATAGTAGCTTACATTGAAAATGTACATTTGAATGCCGGGGCAGGGAAATGATATTGTCCTTTCTGTACGAGTGTCGGGGAGAAGAGCTGTTCTTGGCCTGAAGGCCTCACCCTAGACTGGCCTGGACTTGCTGGGTGCCAGACACCCCTGGAGCGGAAGAAGGGGTGGGGGCAGGTGTCCCTGCTGGGAGGTGCGGACACGGCCTGAGAGCCCCCGACGTGGTTTAACCTGCCCCCTCCCCACGGGTCAGAGGCCAAGCTCAGGAAGGCTCCATTGGGAGTCTTTTGTTAAGTGCTCCCGGGAGCTGAAATCAAGGGCGGCGGGACGGCGTTTGTGCCCAGCCTTCTTCAGCAGCGAGGTTCCCCCACTAACAGCTGAAAGTAACTGAAAGTCGGGTGGACCCTTAAGAGATCGACCTGCAGGGTAACAGTAGAGAAGCAGGCGGCGAGCGGCTGGCAGGATGGACAGTGGGGCAGCGAGGGGCTGGCAGGATGGCCAGTGGGGCGGCGAGGGGCTGGCGGGATGGACAGTGGGGCGGCGAGCGGCTGGTGGGATGGACAGTGGGGGGCGAGGGCTGGCGGGATGGACGGTGGGGGGCGAGGGCTGGCGGGATGGACGGTGGGGCGGGAGGGCTGGCGGGATGGACGGTGGGGCGGCGAGGGCTGGCGGGATGGACGGTGGGGGGCGGGGCGGCAGGATGGAAGTGGGGCGGCGAGGGCTGGGGGATGGACGGTGGGGGGAGGGGGGGGGATGGAAGTGGGGGGAGGGGGGGGATGGAGGGGGGGCGGGATGGACAGTGGGGCGGCGAGCGGCTGGCGGGATGGACGGTGGGGCGGCGAGGGGCTGGCGGGATGGACGGTGGGGCGGCGAGGGCCTGGCGGGATGGACGGTGGGGCGGCGAGGGGCTGGCGGGATGGACGGTGGGGCGGCGAGGGGCTGGCGGGATGGACGGTGGGGCGGCGAGCGGCTGGCGGGATGGACAGTGGGGCGGCGAGGGCCTGGCGGGATGGACGGTGGGGCGGCGAGGGGCTGGCGGGATGGACAGTGGGGCGGCGAGGGGCTGGCGGGATGGCCAGTGGGGCGGCGAGGGGCTGGCGGGATGGACGGTGGGGCGGCGAGGGCCTGGCGGGATGGACGGTGGGGCGGCGAGGGCCTGGCGGGATGGACGGTGGGGCGGCGAGGGGCTGGCGGGATGGACGGTGGGGCGGCGAGCGGCTGGCGGGATGGACAGTGGGGCAGCTGTTAGGATATAGATATTCAGGCCTGTCTGTAAAGGCCTATACTCTAAGAATTTAGGTGTATTCTTATCACTTGGCTAGTGATAGAGGTATAAAAGAAAGAATCAAAATCACTGTCTGCCAGTGTAAGGGCCTTCTCTTACTGTGACAGTTTGTGGCCCTGTGCTTAGGCTCAGGCCTTTGGCTAAGCGACAGAGGCAGCCATAAGCTGGGAAGCGACCGGTCACATCCTCACATTGCAAACTAGTCACACTGAAATAAGGTGCTATTGGGCTGTTAGGCTCTATCAGGACAGGATTGTATTCCTATCACCTCCAGAGGAAGGGAAGTGCCTAGAAAATGTAAAAGGAAACTTAGTTTGATAGCATCCTGTCTGGCAAGAACTCACTTATCAATAGCTGGGATGTGAAATCCTCACTTCTGTATTGTTTTGTCATTATAGTTCCCACTTTGCTGTTGTTTGTCTGTATAATCTCTGTCTGGTTCTGTGATTGGTCCTGTCTGCTGTATAATTAATTTTGCTGGGTGTAAACTAATTGAGGTGGTGGGATATAATTGGTTACATAATCATGTTACAATATGTTAGGATTGGTTAGTTAAATTTCAGGAAAATGATTGGTTAAGGTATAGCTAAGCAGAACTCAAGTTTTACTATATAATCTGTAGTCAATGAGGAAGTGACGGGGTGTGGGTGGGGGTGGGCATGTGGGTGTGTGAGATGGGAACAGGGAATGGGGGTAAGAAAATTGGAATCATGTTTTCCTAAAGGGGGAAATGGGAACAGGGAATGGGAGTAAGGAAGTTGGAATCATGCTTGGCTAAGGGCAGGAATGGGATCAGGGACACAGGTGTAAGGCTCTGTGGTGTCAGAGCTGGGAAGGAGGATACTAAGGAAGGAAACTGGAATCATGCTTGCTGGAAGTTCACCCCAATAAACATCGAATTGTTTGCACCTTTGGACTTCGGGTATTGTTGCTCTCTGTTGATGCGAGAAGGACCAGGGAAGTAAGTGGGTGAAGGAATAAGCCCCCTAACATCTTGGTGCCGGTGACTCGGATGCATCGCATTGGATAGGTGAGTGGCAGCCTGTAAGTCCCCCTCCCCAACAGTCCGCGCAGCTGCTTGGAGGGGGTATCGCGAACTCTCGTGATGGTAGTTGCGGGTTCTGGCAAGCCAGGGTAAAGGATTTTTTGGATAAATGGATAAGGGAGGACCAGGGCCCATACCAGGTACAGGGGTCAACCTGGGATAAGATTAAAAAGGAAATGGAGGAAGTGTTAGGGGACCCAGAGGTATGGGGGGTGGCTGAGGAGCCCACCCTCCTTGGTATATGGGTAGGGGAAGAAGGTCCCTGCTCATGGGGACTGAATGCCTCCCAGGGAAAAGAGGCACTTCAGTCTGCTTGAGAGGTTTGAAGTGAGGGCAGCATTATGGGAAGCTGCCAGTAATCTTTCAAGTTTGGTGCTGCTTCAGCAAGGGCTGCTGAAGGGTTGTAAATTAGTTAGGGGTAGTGAAAGATGATTTGGCACAAAAGGGTTTAAGGTCAAAAGCAGAGTTAACAGACCTCCTTTAGAGACTGGATCTGAGACTTGGTCCTAGGGGAGTGGAGGAAGAAAAGAAAAAATAAAAGTTTCAAAGTGCAACCTGCCTTTCCACACTCTTTTGTTTTTCTGAAGTTTTAATGGAGGGTACTTTGGATACGTATGTGAGATGTCAAGAAGGAAGTTTTTGTTTAATGATAAAACCCAGGTATATAAATGTCACTGTATGTGCAACTCTGTGCAGTCACATTGGATGGAAGTTGGTCATTAAATTTTCCAAGGGGGTCAGGTCGAGTGGCTACTATCACCACTACGCTTCTGTCCCCAGAAGCCTTTATAGCTATTCTGAGGGAAAATGGGCCCTTTTCCCACAGAAATGGTCTATAAGGGACTGCTGCAGGCAGCAGGCGGAGAGAGAATCTGAGCAAAATTATTTGACTATTGGGTAATGTAATCAAAATCACTAAAGGATGGAAGAGGTTTCTTTTGGAACTTAACTTGGCTGCCCCTAGTTGTGTCTAGTTGTACAAGATGGAAGTGTAATCGGGGTACAGTTGTGTAAAAAAGAGTAATCACAGTGCAAGGGATGTTAGGCAAAACAGAATTTTGTGTGTGTGTGCACAGGTAAAAGAAAAGGAAAAGGGGAGGAATGGTGGGAACACTGAGCCTTGGGATGCTCTGGGGGATCAGATTGTTGCTTTGGTGGGTTCTGCATGACAACTCTGTAGGCATGGGGGAGGCAGTTATACCTTGTGTAAAATTAATTTGGCTAATATGATGTTATGGAGGTTAAACTATATGGAAGGAATTTGCATTTTCCCAGGACATGTGCAGTGTATATTGGAAAAGGAGTAAAAGAAATGCAAATAAAACATGGTACTTCATTAAAATCCTAATAGGGCTCCAAAAGGAGCCACAATAGGTTGTGCTTTCTTTTTCAGATCGCTGTGTTTTGGAGCAGGAGATGAAAGTGGAAAGTAATCAGAACTCTGGTGGAAGTAAAATGCTTCCCTTTTAAGACAGTGTCTGAGCTGCTAACAGCTTTGGATCCAAAAGCAAGCTAGTAAGCCTCTGTGTGTAAATGCAAATTACCTAGCTGATGGGCACAAAGGAGCTGCAAATAACTGAATACATCTGGTCAGCAAACAAGCTACTAGAAGACTCAGATTATGGCCCTTCAGGAAAGGGAGGTGAAAAAAACAAGTCAAGCCTGAAAATAAGGGGGACAGGTTAACCTTAAGGGGTGTGTGTGTGTGTGTACAGTGCTAAAATCTGAAGCTGTGTCGCAGCTATTACCTGAGAATAAACTTAAAGCTTGGTACAGCAGAGAAACTATTGCAAACTTGGTCTGTTGTACAAGAGGGGAAACTGAGGTACACCATCTCATGAATTTCATAAATGACCAGTGAGTGAGGTAATTCACTAGCCTGACTATAGAACAAAATAAGGACAGTCTGGAGGCAATTCTTCTGTTTTTCCTGCAAGTAGCAAGGACATTTGTAAAAGAAAGTGGTATTATTATTAAGCAATAATCTGTCCCCACCATGGGGAAGGAAATTGTTTCTTTTGTTTTTCAGACACTCTACAAGCAAGCTGGCGCCAGCGGGAAAAATAACCCAGAATACCATGGATCTATGTTTTGTGTTGTTTGTCTGTGGTGTTTGTCTTGTTGCTAGCATTGTTGTGTTTTAATGAACAGAAAACCTCATGATGTGGGTGGGGGATGGCTTCCAAAGGCTGGCCTTGGGGGGGAAGATGTGTATGGGAATGCAAAATCCTCAGCTAGGAGGCCAGCACCTGTGTAATAGCTACTGTGGTACCTGGAAATGGAATGGCAACTAAGGTGGCCCCCACAAGCCCTATGGAAATAATGAGAAGGGGAGAAGCTCACTGGGAGTTAATGGAGGGGTGTGTAAAATAGTGTAAATCAATAGAAGATGTTTGGATGTGCCCCTCTCCTATGACTATAGAGGAGCAGGATCAATGGCCTATGCAAGGGGTGGACAATTGGGTGTACTGTGTATAAGGTGTTTTGCTGGGAATGTACATATTACTGGGGGCACAATTACACCAGCCCATAACCAAACTACACCCATCTACATGCTGCTATATGGACTTTGGTGCACAAATGGATCTGTGAATCTTATTGCTGTGAATAAGCCAGGGCTTACTGCCTGATTCCATACCAAGTGGTCAAGCTGGTTTGGACAATATCCCATTTCTCTGTGAACATTCAATGGACTTGTGATATGGACAAAAGCATACAAAACTTGCAGGAGCAGCTTGTTGCAACTGCCAGCAACTGGACACAAGATCGTGACCCCATCGAAGGAGGAGAGGCAGTATTTTGGGGGTGTCTCGGATGTTGGACCATACTGCAGTGGTCAGGACTCGGTGTTGCTGTGGATTTTGTATTGTTAACTGTACTTGTGTTACGTTGCATAGGGAGATAACCTATTAGGAATGTAATAAGCCCTCCAAACCCTGCAGTGTACTAGACAACCCGGACCCAACCTTCTCAGGCCCACTCTAATGGGAAGTCTGGAACACTAATTGGAATAGGTGTGGTATGCCCGTATGAGAGAAGGTGCAGGGCACTATACTACCCAAGGGGCAGTGGGACAAATGGAATATCGACACCTTCCACCTTGATGCCTGGCCCTATCAGGAAATGTG